ATTTTCCTGCCTCAGCATCCCAAATAGCTGGAATTACAGGCGCCCGCCACCATGCCCGGCTACTTTTTGTATTTTTAGTAGAGACGGGGTTTTACCATGTGGGCCAGGCTGGGCTCGAACTCCTGACCTCAGGTGATCCGCCCTCCATGGCCTCCCAAAGTGCTGAGATTACAGGCATGTCACCGTGCCCAGCCAGATCTTTCTTTAATTTATAATTAATCTTGTCCGGGCACTGTGGCTCACATGTGTAATCCCAGCACTTTTGAACGCCAAGGCGGGAGGATACCCTGAGATCAGGAGTTCAAGACCAACCTGGCCCACACGGCAACACCCCGTCTCTACTTAAAATACAAAATTTAGCTGGGCGTGGTGGCGGGCGCCTGTAATCCCAGCTACTAGGAAGGCTGAAGCAGGAGACTTTGACCCCGGGAGGCGGAGGTTGCAGTGAGCTGAGATTGTGTCACTGCACTCCAGCCTGGGCAACAGAGCAACACTCCGCCTCAAAAATAAAAAATAATTTCTCACTGCTACATGTATTTCTCATACAATTGTTTAAACTGTGATATAATCAACATGCTATAAACTCTACCCTTTTAAAATGTACAATTCAGTAGTTTTTAGTATATTCAGAGTTGTGCAACCATCACCATTGATTTTAGAAGATTTCTTATTTTTGTTTTCTTTTTTTTTTTTTTTTTTTTTGAGACAAGGTCTCACTATGTTGCCCAGGCTGGTCTCAAACTCCTGAACTCAAGCAATCCTCTGGCCTCGGCCACCCAAAGTGCTGGGATTGATTACAGGTGAGAGCCATCTCACCAGGCCCTGATTTTAGAACATTTCATCATCCCAAAAAGCATATTCTCACCTACACCGCCAGTCCCCCAACCTCTGGCAACCATTAAGCTTTCTGTCTCTAGATTTACCTACTCTGGCCATTTTATATAAATGGAATCACACAATATGCAGTCTTTCTGACTGACTTTGCTCACGTAGTGTGATGTTTTCGAGGTTCATTCATATTGTAACACGTATCAGTAGTTCATTCCTTTCTATGGCCAAATATTCCATTGTATGAATATATTAACACCATATTTTGTTTATTGATGCATCAGTCGTTATGTCCTTACAACATTCCTGTATTCGAATAAAGAACCAGGGCTGTGAGAGGTTCACTCTTTTATTATAACCCAAATAAAATGACATTTGGGGCCGAGCGCAGTGGCTCACGCCTGTAATCCCAACACTTCGGGAGGCCGAGGAACAGGGGAAAGGGGGATCACTTGAAGTCAGGAGTTCAAGACCATCCTGGCCAACATGGCGAAACCCCTCTCTGCTAAAAATACAAAGATTAGCCGGGCGTGGTGGCGGGCGCAGTGGCGGGTGCCTGTAATCCTAGCTACTCAGGAGGCTAAGGCAGGAGAATCGCTTAAACACGGGAGGCGGACGTTGCAGTGAGCCGAGATGGTGCCACTGCACTCCAGCCTGGGCAACAGAGCAAGACTCCATCTAACAAAAAATAAATAAATAAATAACATTTCCACTTTTTGGCGATTATGAATAATGATGCTATAAACAAGGGTGGACAAGCTTTATGTGAACATATGTTTTCAGTTTTCTTGGGTATATAGCCAAGAGTGGGCTTCCTGGGTGTTATACTAATTCTAATGCTTAATGTTTTGAGGAACTACCAAACTATTTTCCACCATTTTACATCCCCACCAGCAATGTACGAGAATTTCACTATTACATTTTCAACAAATGAGGGTAATTCTTGAACGAATAGAGAGGTGTGCCGCCACCGTAGAACGACAACCCACTACCCAGAAGACTGCATTAAGAAAGCAGAAGTGTATGTCCGGCGGGAAAACAGAATAAAATGTTACAGGTCCAAGCGTTATTAGGCAAGTGAGTTAACCTCGTAGAGCCCCGGTTCCTTATTCGAAAAAACAAAAAAAGCGGGCGGGGGGCGGGGGCTGCTGTAATGCCATTTCACCTTGCAGTCGCCGTGAAAATTAAATCAGTCAATCCGCGTAAAGGTGCTTTACAACACTGATTATTCACGATTCGATCTCAGGCAAGGCATTAGGGGCAAACGCTAAATGCCCAGAACCTCCCCCTCGCAAAGGTTCCTTCCCCTCGGGAGGGTCACTGAGCGACATCG